AACTCGTGGATGCAGCGTTAAGGTGTTTGTATTGTGTTTGTATTGTGTTTGTATTGTGTTTGTATTGTGTTTGTATTGTGTTTGTATTGTGATAGTATTGTGTTCGTATTGTGTTTCTATTGTGTTTCTATTGTGTGTGTATTGTGCTTGTATTGTGTTTTTATTGTGTTTTTTCTGTTCGTTCTGTATTTTATTTCCTTATTTTTACCTTTATTTAAAAGTTCATTATCTTATAAGACGAGTATGTGACCTTCTTAAGTCCCCTTATTGTTGCATGTAGAAAAGCTTTAAATTAATTTTAATGACACTCACTAGTCTATATAGTTAGATAAGAAATTAGAGGTTCGATGAAAAAACATCTCAGGACTAATTATCTCAGAAAAAATATCCTAGACAAAATATATCACTGACAAATGTTCTCAGGGCAAAATATCACAGGACAAATGATCTTAAAAGATATATCTTTTATTTTATCAAGTGGAAATTTACAGCTCTATGTGGGACGACAGAAAAAAAGCGCTGGTTTAAATCAAGATAGATATTATATACATTTATATATTTGATGTAGGCACAATATAGCAAACCTGTACTTACCTGTAAATTTGATACACGGGTGACATAGGGGGTCGATAATTTCTCATAGGTGGGTCGCTCCTATTGATAAGAATTTTATGAAGTGGATTATCAGCCTTACATTTAAAAAACTGCTTTGAAAAAAATTCTTATCAATATCTTCAGGTATATAGCTGCGCAACAAAAATGTTCATCCACTTCATATGTTACAAGTAACGTAAAGAAAAGCTCAGCTTACAAAAAGATGCTGTTTCGGTTTGACAGTTGAAAAACACGACTTAGGTTGTCTGAGTCTGATGACGCCGAAAAGGAAATCAACAATGTATATATATATATATATATATATATATATATATATATATATATATATATATATATATATATATATATATATATATATATATACATATATATATATATATATATATATATATATATATTTGTGTGTGTGTGTGTTTGTGTGTGTGTGTATGTGTGTGTGTGTGTGAGAGAGAGAGAGAGAAAGAATGTATGTTATAAGCGCATAAATGTGCATTGAGTTTCCGCTAAAGTAGTGCAAGTTATTTTGCATCTATATCTAAATCTGGTTGGTAGTATCTGATTGATTATTTTAATGGTATTGGATTCTTGAATTCGCCATAAATAGGTGAGAAATTAACTTTGAATTAATATTTCTAAACTATATTCTTCAGCCGAATCACGAACAAAATCACGGTGTGGGATATGTGTGGGATATGTGTGGGATATATGTGGAATATGTGTGAGATATCTGAATCAGCGCTTACATATTGAGCAGTCTTTGATTTTCGTGGTAAACGCTCCACCTGTGTTTACACCTGTCACAACAAAATAACAATCTCCTGTAGCACCAAGACCGATAGATGTCGCCAATATACAACCAGGTGTACTCAGACATAACTGATCACAAGCCTGGAATACACACACACATATATATATATATATATATATATATATATATATATATATATATATATATATATATATATATATATATATTAAAGTATGGACATAGAAAAAGGTTTAAGAAATTGATAAAATTGTTAATACCTCTTCAGTTATTCCACTGTTCTTTAAAACGGCTGTCGTCGACAGCACACATTGTTGAGCTGAGTAAATAAATGTATTAAATGTTTTTAAATATCCAATTATACATTGCTATAGACCCATAAGGATGAGCGAATCTGTGTTACCATAAGGATGAGCGAATCTATGTTAGCACTACTTGTCATCACAGTGATATGTCATTGATGGGTTTTTCTGTTGGCTAGATTTAGCAAAGGACTAAAAGTTAAAAGCTGTTTCACGAAATGTTACTGAACAACAGGACTCCAATTAGATTTATGGTTAGTGTTTGGTCTCATTTTAGAATTATGTTCGCGTGGATAAGGTGATTAAGATTAAGGCATAGATTAAGGTTTAGGTTTAGGTTTAAATTATTGTTAGCAATAACATGGATACGACTGGCTTAGAATAGAAGAAGTCCACTTTCAGTCTTTGATCTGAATAAACTCTCTTAAGCTTTAAAAATATGGACGGGATACCAAATTTAAGAACATGGTGTAGTTAGATAAAAGACTCACCATCAACTTGATAGTAGTTGATACAACACAACACAAGCAATGAGATCCTAGTAGCCATCAATTTTTTAATGAGAAAGTCTGTATGAAAATTATTTTGGTTATACATATATTTTTTCAGACTGCATATAACTGATATATATATATATATATATATATATATATATATATATATATATATATATATATATATATATATATATATATATATATATATATATATGCATGTATATCAATATATACAATTTACCAACTCGTAGCTCCCGATGGAATATTGCAAAAACTATTTCAAATCAATCCAGATGACACAAGAAGTGTGTTGACCAAAGCCTGGCGGAAGCGAACGTACAAGAGACACGAAAGAAAGTTTATTATTGTTCGATGTATTGTCTAGCTGGAGAGAATACGCGTAACTAGTTTTTTTCTAGGGCGCAGACACAATCATTCTGCTTCATTATTAGACACGACATATTGTTTTGGTTTTCTTTGTCAGTTAAGAAACTGAAGCTAAAAATCGATATGCAGTTTAAGTGAGGTTTGTAGTCTTGTATATTGCATATTATTGTCATTTATGTATTAAAATAACATTAAATTTAACAAGTGTCTCTAATTGGCATTTTATTATAGGTCCAACAGCAAAGTACATTTAGGTATGCATTGAAATGTAGGGTTAATTACAAATGAAATGTTAATATTTTAAAATTAGAAACCAACATGTAATAAAAGTATGTTTGAGTAGACTTTAACAAAAACCAAAAAAACGTATTAAAATTTAAATAATAGCGTTCAAGTCGTGTTACCTTACAATCGGAAGCTTACCTTGTACAGTCCTTGTTAACCTTCTTAATAAATATCAATGGTAAAAAAAAAAAACCTTTAATTTGTTTCCAAATTGAAAACGACTTTTGGACACATTGAAAGGTTCTAAAATTGTCAGTATAAACACATTAATTGAACAATCGAAACAAAATAATAAAAACAAGGTAACAATTATAGTTGTGGGTTTAAGCAAAAAAAAATTCGTCAATTTGTTTATTAATGGCTGTTGGGTACATAGAAACAAAATATTTATATGCAATATAAGTCATAAAACCAGTGTTTCTTCCAGACTTTTTTCTCAGGGGGGGGGGTGGGGGAGGTACTTGATATTTTCAGGTGGAGGGGGGTTGAACAACATTTTCCGGGGGGGGGGGGGGGGGGCGGACACTGGTAAAAGTATATGTTTTCTATATAAATTCTTCCATTCCGTTCGAAAGGTCGGTAGACTTTCTTCGGGGAAGGGGGTAAGGCGAATCCTCCCCCCCCCCCCCCTCGAAGAGACGTCTTTAAAAAACTCTGCATCAACATTCATCAAAACTTTAAAATAGAAAAATTATTGCTAATTAATTGTTGAATCTTACTTAGTTTTAATTCAAAATATTGGGATCTTGTAATAAAAAGGGGTTAATTAAGGGGAATTTCATTTCTCATTAACTTTTTAAAGTGCCTGTTATCCTCACGAAGAAATGTTTATAACAAAATTGATTTTCTTAAAAACCTGTTTGCAAAATAACAAACTACAAATTGAGAATCGTTTGAGAAATGTATTCAGCTACAATAAAGCTTATCTCCCTTTCTTATAAAGCTCGGATTAAATCCCCGTCCGCCCACTACATGACTAGACATACAGAAGATCTGATGGAAGAGGGTGCAAATGTCCATTAGGATTAAGAGATCAGCAGATTAAAATCCATCGGACATGAACGCCCTCGGATGTGTTTTTATCAGCTTATATATAGCTAACTATGTTTGTTCGTTTGTGAGTGTGTTAACGTGCTTGCTTGTTTTTGGGTTGTTGTTTTTTTTGTTTTTTTTTTGGGGGGGGGGGGGGGGGGGTGATACATCTTGTAGTTTAATATTAACTCCTTTTTAATGCAGCATTTTGTTGGAACTTCCATAAATATTAATCCCCCATGACAATGTTTAGTTTCTTATAACTGTTTTTAAAAAATTGCAAGCTTAGACCGGATTTTAAAGCTATATTATTAGTCGTTAACTTCTTGGATAATGCACAAATATAGAGCACTAAAAAATATTTTAAAAAAACGTGTAATAATAAGCTTTCAGATGTAGTGACAATAAGAACATAAAAACAAATATGCTTTCTTTAATAAAAGCATCGGTCGCCCAAATGTGTAAGGAACTTTATGATCCACCAATGCTTTAATTTTAAAAAAAGCTAATTTATTTTATTATTTTAAAGAGCTTATTATTATAAAAGTTTTAATATTTGGGATTTTCTTTTATTATTGCTCTTGTTTTTCTCTTGTCAAAATTAAAAAGCTTTTAACGGTAGAAATCACGATCATAATCTTACTTTTGCGTTCTCTGCAACTATTCTTCAAGTTTTATATTTTTTTTATCTTTCCCAAATCTGACTTACTTTTTCAACTTCGTCCAGCCCACTGAATCGTTAGCCCTGGGGGGGGGGGGGAGGAGGAGGAGGAGGTAGGGCTCCACCTTTTGGGCTACATGGCTAATTTTTGTTTGTTTTCTAATCATTTTGTTACTATTTTCTTTCTATACTCTGTATTTCTACCGCACTTTCTCCGTACAACTCCCAGAGTTTAAGATACTCTTGAATTAAAAATATCTGGATAGGACATAGGACGTTATTGAGGAAAAGTCTGGATTCTATTTGTTATCCGCAGTTAGTTCCTCTGTTTACCATGACATGTACCTTAAGTTAAAATACTGAAGTCTTAAATCAATTTTTTTTTTTTAATTTCAACAAAATTGATAGATATTTGTGAAGATTTAAAGTCTGGTCAAATTTGAGATAATGCTATGCTATGCTGTGCTGTGCTGTGCTGTGCTGTGCTGCGCTCTGCTCTGCTCTGCTCTACTCTGCTCTGCTCTGCTCTGCTCTGCTCTGCTCTGCTCTGCTCTGCTCTGCTCTGCTCTGCTCTGCTCTGCTCTGCTCTGCTCTGCTCTGCTCTGCTCTGCTCTGCTCTGCTCTACTGAAGTCAACGTGATGAAACTTTATTACCTGCTTATTTACACGTAGGTAGTGGCAGACAGATCTTATAAAATTTGGTCTTTGGTCTAACTAACTGAAGCGATACACACTTTATCGGTTTTTATAGAAACCAGAAATGGAGTAACTTACGACTTTCGTTTATCAGAGGTCACTGGAAAATTGAGATTATACCAATATATTAAAATTCGTGTTCCTAATTAAAGCAGTACTCAATATTTCGTATTCAAACAAAATACAGTAACAATACATTTTCTGTTACCAGAAATTGTTCAAAAGCGGATATAAACATGCATATAGTATATGTATAGTACTTGTATGTAAAACTTCGTCTGACATATACGCACACACACACAGACATACGGACAAAATTTCAAAGCTAAGTTTTTCCGACTCTGGGGTGTGTAAAACGTGGAGATTAAAATATCGAAAAATAAAGATTTCAATTTTATGCACGATTACAGTACATGTACTAAACTCCACACGCAAGAAAATTTCAATAGAAAACGTTTTAATAACAAGCGTTTATATGAACAAAAATAACAAAATAAATTATTATTTATACAAAAACGGCTATGTTTATAACAATTATCCCACAGAAATATAAATCTTATTTTTTAATCAAATTTAATTGAAAATCAAAATTATCAAAAAATAAATTAAAAAGAACAAAAGAATGCAGAGAATATAGGGGCATAGCTAAGCAACCTGTAGTTATGATGTAGTTTTCATTGTTATTTCCCTTTGACCGTGGAATGGTAATTAAACAAATGTAATAAAAAAAAAATTTTAAACTTTAGAGCAACATGCTTTTAAATGCACTGAAAATAAGAACATAAAACTAATTTGCTTTCTTTGATAAAAGGTTAGTCCCAAAAATATGTAAAACATCTCAACAGCGACCAAAGCTTTTATGAAAGAAAGCAGATTATTTTTATTTTCTTACTTTCTAACGTTCCTACTCTCAGTGCTTTAAAAGCTTGTTGCTATAAAGTTTTTTATTTTTTATTTTTTGTTTTTTTTTTACTTTTTAGGTTCGGTTAGGCTTACCTGTCCTCCCTCCTGATACATAGGCCGCTGACAAGAGCTTTCCATGCGTCTCTAACTTGGGCTAATCTACTTTTTAGTGATTCCTAATTTATGAAGTCGATATGAGAAAAAATATTTACTTTAAAATACCATTAGTAGACTGCCATATCTAAGAGACGATTATATGCAGCGTGAAAGCAGCCGTCTGTGACCATTTGTTACGCTGATAAAGCGAAAGATAGCTCTTAATTTTGTTACCTCCCCTTAGTTTCAAATTTTTAAAACTATATTAGCTACCTCTAATAGACATTAATTAGCCTTGGCTCTACGATTTTAAAAAATCGGCCTGAACCACAGCTCACCAGACTGTTAGGGTGATGGCGTCTAGTTAGTTATCTCCCCTTTTTGTTATTGAATACAGTAGTCTATCAAGTTATCGCTAACATTCAATAGTGTAATTTCCCCCGGGTTTTAGAAACCGTTTAATTAAATTTGAATGACTAATTTAATATCTAATTAAATTAAATATTTATATTAAAATAGATAATCATGCGTTGCTCTCGAAGACTAAGTTATCTGAAAAATTTGAACGAAATCGCTGCATCAGATGTTGGTTAAAATTGAGCTACCACAAAACTCACAAATGACGGTTGTGAACTAAGTTAAAGCTTGTAAAAATAAAAACGATAAAATATTACAAAGAATGTAGGGGACATAACTTAGCAACCAAAAGTTATGAAGTAGTTTTCATTGTTATTCCCCTTTGACCATATACTGCATGTAAACAAATTTAAACAGCAAAAATGTCTTGACATTTTGCTGTTTAAAAGGCAAGTGATAGGTAATTTGTGTTTGTATAGAAAATCTCATTGTAATATTACTTGGTAAAAGTGAGTCGTGTACCAATCAGAGTTGGGAGACCTCATGGTCCATATACAGACTCATGTTTTGCAGTCGTCAGCTCTACCATTCATCCACTCCGGTCCCCTATCTAGATATATGGCTATGTGTTACTTGAAGTCTAGACTATTTTTACCAAACGTCATTCATAACAAAATGATATGTAAATATCTAGTGGTGTAAAATACATCGCTTGTTCGACGGCTGCTATTTAGATAACAGCACATTGCGTGTTGGTATTTATGTTTGTGTTGGATGTCATTTATGGTCAAACCTGCTACATTGCTCAACTCGTAGTACACGAAACACAAAAGTAGACCCCATCAAGTTTACCTAAAAACTATTTTAGACATATTGAGTACAGTCTCCGACGACTCGTTTGATCACAAGGTCTCACTTAAACTAAACTGGCAGACGTAAGCACATAACTTATACACTACACATAGATTGATATTTCAAGGGAAATAAACAAGAAATATGTATAACAAAAAGGAACCTAACAATAACTTATTAGACATTAAGTAACAAATTTTAAACACATTTAAAATAAAATAAAAAGTGTTTATTTCTTTTAATATTCAACAGTTATTGAATGAATAGCAGAATTAAAAATTGACATCCACTTGAGGTAGCTCACAAGTTTAGCTCTATCAACTGCTTAGAAGTTACTTTTTGTAATATCTGGGGGAAAAGAAATTAAAAAAGAAATATGATCACCTCAGCTAGTGAAGAGTTAAAACTGAAAAGCCAATGAATTTGCCTAGTTTACATTAATGTATCTGAATAGCAGCTATATTATGTGTGTATACTGTTTGTATTGCGTTTTTACAGTGTTTCTACACAGCTAGTTGTGGGTTTGTATTGTGTTTGTACCCTGGGTGATATTATAATTTGTAG